GGTATTTCCACCGCGGAAGCCGGTCGCTCTATACTGGTTCCCGCTCAGCGCCGAATACTCGAGCGGTACTCGCGGTATTGCGCGCGTCATCTCGCTGAATTGAAAATGTTCGACAAACGATCGGGTAATATGTAAGACGCAATAAAAGTAATGAAGAACAAGGAATTGAATATAAGGGATCAGGAATAAGCTGCGCAGAGGGAAAAACAATTTTTGAATTTAACACAGCAGTGTTTGACTCGGGTTTGTTTAACATAAAGGGCATAATTTAATATTAAATATCACTTGGTTTGGACGGAAACGTTTCACCAGAGCAAATGATGTTTGATGGAAGAAACGGTATTATTTAGAAGAAATAATATTTAGTTCGGAATAAAGAAACAACGAGAATCTAGACTCTGGAGAACGAAATTCTTTCTGTAACATTAAAAGAGCACTTATCGTGCTCCTTTGACGCTACAAGGTGGGAACTTACTTCCGTTTTCTCCACCTGAAGACTTAGAATTTCAAATATCGACTTATTGTCGCGTCGACGACACCCTCTCTCGCGTGCCCTCGTCGTCGTCGCTCTATCTTCCTTCGAGTGCGCAACGTTGCGCAACATCGATATCCTTCGTGGATAAATTATGTAATTACCGCCGGCCGGCGGCGCATGCCGGCACGTTTATTCTAATCAAGTGAAACCGTTATCCGCATTATCCGCGCACCGCAAATCCGTATCGGGTGTTCGCAGCGCAGGGCAGCGATCGACGCGAGCCTCGAGAAATCCTTCCCTTCGCAGGAATGCGTGCCGCGCGCGCGCATGTAAAAGCTTTAGTCAGATTCCTTCCCCGAGAGCGAGCGCTTCGTTAATAATTCATATTCCGCCTCTCTTATTTAACGCCGAGGAACGGGATTGTGCGCGACGGCTATTAAATAAATGACACGTATCGAAAGTTCCGAGGAGGCGCCGCGGACGGAGGAGGATAATCTCTTGGTGCGGAAAATCCGCTGAATTCGGCACTCCCCGTACACGGAAGAAAACGCCGCCGAGTCAACAGAGTTTCCAACAAAGCGCGTAATTGTCCAACAAAGCGAATAAATCTTCTTGATTCAGTAACGACGTATTATTGAATCTGATTTATCATGTGTTGTTTCAACAATTCGAATATCAGTCCCGATGATATTGCTATGGAATCAAGGAGATTTCAAACGACTTGTCCAATTATGAACGGTGTTGGAGCGTTTATTGCTTCAAACGGCATTTCTTCCCGTGTGGGTGGTAGACCGATCGATGACGCAGCCGAGCCGGATGGCGATCGAAGCCGTGTTTATTTCAACGTGACCGTCGTGTAAAACGGAATGGAATTATATGTATCTCTTTTATCACCACGCGGAATAAAGTTATATTAGCTTTTAATTAAATTTAATTTAATTAATCGAATTGAATGCATACTAATTACTTCGAGATCTTTTGTCGCAAAAATCGAGACCTCATATGGTCTCGCAAAACCGACCGGTGAACCGATTTCTTCAAAGCCGGAACGCTCGACGATGGGGTTTATTTAGTTCAAGTTTTTTTCAAGCGCGATCATCGCGTAAAGCGACAGAATTATGCATATATGTTTTAATTACCACGCGCGACAAACTTATATCGACTTTTCCGAGATCTCACGAAAACCCGAGATCTCACAGTCGCGCGGTTTCGCGAGATCGACCGGTGGAGGGATTTTGTCGAATCCGATACGCTCGACGATGAAGCCGTTTCGGTGATCGATTAGTAACGACTAATAGCGGATCTGCACGATCGAAAGCGCGACGCGAACTTCCGTTTCGCTTGCGAAACTGCCAGAAACTAACCGGGCCCCGTTGTCGATCGCGCACACGAAATATGTACGCGTGGGTATACACGCACGTGCAATCGTGCTCGGGGCTCTCGTACTTGCTTTCCAAGGATCCTACCATTGTAGAAAGTTATTTGACATTTAGAGGGGTTTGCAGTTTTTTGACCCACCCTGTGCATACTCTCGCGCCGCATGCCGCGCGAGCGCGATTTACCGACGCCGCGGGAGGCGCAACACGTGCGCGACGACAGATCGCCACGTGTCACGATGATGAGAGGGAAAGAGAAATGATCGTCGTGCGAGGTTGCAGAACTCTGACTTGCAAAAGCCGCCGAAGTTGCAAAAGTAATAACTTCGCGACGATGCGCGCTTCGAACGAGAATTTGCCAGCTATACCCTTCAAATTTTCACCTTTCCTTTCTTTGTCTCTCTTTTTTATTACATTGCATTCTTACTGCATTATATCCGTAACGTCCTTCGAGGGACATAGTCCTTAGGGCGAGTCCTTAGCGCAATAAACGCGTCAATCAATCGAAAGTGTCGCGTGAGGATTGAAGGTGTGTGTTAAAAAGTGATACATATAGAAATATAGTTACAAAGAGCATTGAATATCGTAAAACGTTTGAAACAGTATTTTCCCTTTCGGTGTGTCGTTAGAATGAAATTGATTTCGCTATCTTAGTTCCTATAGTATTATAAAATTGACGGTTTAACACAGACTCGAAATTTCGGCTCGCTATACGCTTCCACTATCGTAGCTTCCACACCGTTACTTGCGAGCACGCCTGTCCGGATTGCGCTCGGATTGCGCTCGTGCGAGCGTTTATGGTCGAGGAGACATTCGCCGCGGTGATTGCGGATCCCCCGGTGCTGCGTGCGCGGTCAACACCTCGCCGGTTCCGAGTTTCACCTCGATTAAAGGGAGCGATTAACTAACTCGGCGAAGCGGCGGCGGCCGTCTTCCGCGCCTCGCTCGGAATTTCTGTTAGGCGGGCTCGTCTCATTAAGCTTGCGGCGTCCGCTAATTGTTATCGCGGCGACTGCGTGCCGTTGCACGTCGGCAACATAACGTAACGTTAACGTAACGTTCGCCGGCCGAAACCGCACCACCACCGCGGCGAGAAAGTGGGCGCGCGCGCGCGCGGCGTTCTTTCTTCTTGCTTTCTCTTTACGCGACCATTACGTAACGAGGAGTGGCCGATCGCGTGCGCGAACGTGTGCGTACGTACCTTGTCACGGCACCGCCGTCATCCCTCCCAATACACGTCATCGGTCTTTATTAATCGGACACCCCGGCCGCAATCGCATTGACCGCGACGGGCCCGGCCGGGAACAAGTGCATCGTCGCCGCGGCGTGCACTTTGCATTTCTGCGTTACGTAAGCGGTTACCGGCGCTCCGGTATCCGGGTGTACGACGGACATGGGCGTAGCCCAGGATTTCAGTCAGGGCGACGAACATCTGCCTTCATATCCGTCACCTCGTGACACGCTCCCGATCTTTCGCCTCCGACCCTTCCTTCGGGACATCTCTCCGTGCGAGAGGCTGAAATTCGAAATTACCTTCCTACACGGAGGTAATGTTGGTGGTGAAAGCGACTACGAAAGTTTGCGGATTATTGTTTAAAAGTTTAGATATTATTATTTAAAACGATTATACCGGAATTATCATCGAAATTATTAGGTTTGTTTGTTACCTTTAGCGATGTGTACGTATGGTATACATCACTAAAGATTACAATATGCACACACATACATCAGAATTTCGGTCATAATTCTGGTATGGTTCAGCATTGAGAAATCTTGTGGTAATTTTTACCGCAATATTTTTTCTGTACACCTAACTGAAACACGCCGAAATCATTGCGGGCGATATGAGCCCGAGTTGAAAGTTTCGTCCCATATGAAGTTTATTTAGTTTCACGTTAAGTCTTCAAATGGAGGAGACGGAAATAATTTCTCATTTGTGGCATCAAAGGAGGACTAATAATGTTCTTTTGTTGGAGAAATTTTCAATTCCACGTTAAGTCTTCTCTCGACTGGAGAAAACCGAAATAACTGTCCGTTTGTTTGTTACGTGTTGCATAAAAGAGAGCATAATAGAAGACCTTTGAAGACTCAACGTAGAAATTAAATAGATTTAACGTAGAACTGAAATTTCAACTCGGGAAGGCAGACTGACGTCCGCAGGTAAAATTGAGAAATTTTCATCACATTCAATTTCATCAAGCATTGTTGGATACTTCGTCGCTGGCTTTTAATTACAGCTATTTAGCTTGAGAAGTGGAAGGGCATATTTAGCGTTCGATTCGACGCGTTCAGAATAAGGTCGCTGTGCTTTAATTCGTATCACCGTTTTTTCGCCGAGCCGAGCGAGCCGAGGAAGCTGAGTGAATGAACTGTTCGCCGGTTCTCACTTTCGTCGGCTCTTTCGATTACCGGGAGAGGCTTCGATGAGTTTCGTGGACATTTCTTATCGCGAGTATTACGCGGATATTTGTTCTCGCGAGAGAACGTTTTTACGGTTCTCGTGAGGATCGTCGATCGATAACCCTAACGGGTCGTTAAGTGATTGGTATGAAATTGACGTTCGATTCGAGTTCCTTCGGCGGTTGTTGACGAAATCATCAGTACCGTTAATTCCGACGGAGGCGTGCGTCCAAGAGAGGAGAGATGTGCTTTCTCTCTTCTATTTATAATTATATATTAACGAAAAACTGGTTGTGAAAGGGAGAAAGTATTACGCGCTACGTGGTCGTTAAAAAAAAAATATATATATATAATTACGTTTTACGTGAGCGCTCGAAAACGAGCGCGAGCGTTCGATTGTCATTCGCGAGGGATCGCGTCACGGACTGACCGACCGACCGACTGACCAACCGGTTCACCTGCGGAAAACGATACTTACGTGTTACGTTGATCAGGCCTCTTTACTCGAGACGCGGAAAAGCCGAAAAGCTCGAGACCCCGAAATGGCGATCGCCGGCGATCGTCGACGGCGGAGGCGCGCGAGAAATCGGGTCGCATCATGGAGTTGGAGACGAACCCGCCGCGAATTAATTATCCGCACTCTCACTGACCGACACACTCCGACACATTGTACACATTGACACATTGTACACGCGTGTGCTGATGAGCTGATGAATTATTAATGCGACGCATCCGTTTTTCCGTTACAGGAGGTGCGAGCGGCGTCGCTGGTTCTCCTCTTGGGGATTCTACTCGCGACGATACAAAATGGTAAGACTTTCACGACTATTCCCTCCCCGCGCCCGCAAAAACGCAAGTCTGATCTCTCCCACGCGGGAGAAACGATTAAAATTCTCTCTCGTTCGATCTAGGCTTCGTCGCGACTCGTCGCGATAGGATGCACCGGGAAGGAATGTGGTGGGATCTCGACGAGATTTTGCTTAAGCCGGCTTTTTCCAGCACAACGTTTGGTCCGTTGAATAAATTCTATAGGATGGCCGAAAACTGACAAAATTCCGGGTGTCGGTGGAAAACATCAAAATAAGTAGTTTTGGTCAGCAAACCCGTGTGCGCAAATCAGCCGTCTTGGCACTAGAGTGAATTATTTACAGCAGTTTTTCGAAGTGTTGGCCATTTACTTCGAACTTCGGACTTGTTTCCTTAGGTTTCACGTCTTTTTTTTTTATTTCTCTGTAAAGTTTCGCGGCCAGGTTGGGGTTCTATTCCCCTCGATTAACAAGATTGGGATGGATCCGACCGGACCAACATTCTAATGATTCTGCGTACGTGCTTGTTCCACGTCCATGTTCGTTCGTTCGAAGTTAAATGAGAAACCGCATTACCTATGATGGGATGATACACGGGGTGAGGTAATAACAGGTTAGACGAAGGTGGAAAAGTTTACATTTACAGAAAGCGTCGGAAGGGTGATTGATGTGTCAATGCGATTTCTGTTTGGTAAACGTTTCTCTTGCTCTCACATTTCGACGATATATTCAAGGTGGTGAATAGGTATTGCCTCAGCCTGTGTATCAAAAATCGGACGTTCCCGTTAGCAAGCCCGAGATCGACGGTGGACTCTCGAAAGCGAGCGTGCTCGAGATTAAACGAGGAGGTATAAGGTCGTTGGATGTTTAATACCTCCGAATTCGAGCTGACTGCACGGCGACCGCCGAAGTATCCGGACGATCGACGAGCGACGCTTATGGATCTTAAAAATAAATTATAGCCCGAGATAAATCTCAGGGAGTGCTTACACGGCTGCCAAAGTAAACCCGGCTTGCGAAACGAACTGTAAAGCGGCACTTAACTGTCGGATCCCCGGCGTTTATCCGCCGACTGCACCCTCGGATCTCACGGCGATAATCGTTTCCGCGCAAGCGGCGGAGCAATCCCGCGCTCTGCGACTGTAATAAGCAAGAGCCAAGTCGAAATGGGATTCGCGAGAGAGAAAAAAAGGAACGGGCCTCTCTCTCTCTCTCTCTCTTACTTTTTCTCTCGAGTCTCCCGCTCGTAAATCGCCGGTTTTTCCGGTCGACTGGACGAAATGGACGGACAGAAAGGACCGAAAGTTTCTCGCCGAAGTCAATCGGATCGTCGATAGATTTTAGGATTCTGCAAACTTCGGCTCGCGAATGTATTCCTGATTCCCAAGCCAAGACCGACGTTCCTATACGTTTCCTACGGGGCAAACGGAAGTTGGAATGAAAAAGGCGCTAAGCGCTCGTCACGCCTCGAGAAAAAGAGCCCTGCTCTCTCGCCGCGAATGAATAAACGACGTCGCGTCGAAGAAAAATGATCTCTCCGGCGGGTATCTCGTTTCGGAGAGCTGTTCGGTGGAGTATCGCTTTCAAGGTATATACCCTCCGATACGTATCTTTACGTAATGAACTGCAATTTTTACGCCCGAAGGCGCTCTCAACCGAGCGCTCGTTGAGCCGCGAGTTAAGCACGCGGAGTTGAAGTTAAAGTTTCCCATAAATCGCGCGGGGAAGAAGCGGCGGCGAGCTCGTCACAATGCAATGCGCGGCGATAATCGCGGCGAACAGGCGATAATGCCGGCGCGCGCGCGGGATTGCCGTAATAAGGCTTTTAATAAGGCTTTCCACTTCGTGATCGGCGAGGTGTGCGGAACGCGCGATTTTTCCCCTGTCCTACGGCGATCCGGAAAAACGCGCGATCACGAGAGCGAGCGCGGATCGCGGACCTCTTACTCGATATTATCTGGGCTATTATGCGCCGTTGCGGTTTAATGCAGTTATACACCGCGCCGTTCGTGTGTATAACCGCGAGAAATACGTAGCGTGGGACCTATCGCGAATACGCCTCGTGGGCGTAGCGGTGAAAGAGAATCTCGAGCGTCCCCCCTTCCCGCCAGCCTCGCGGAGGTGTGTTTGTTAAGCGAGTTAACGGAATCTAAGATTCAGCTCACGCGGATTCGCGCGGCACACGGTGCTCCAGAAGCCCCGTTTCGCCTCGAAAGGCACATTCCTCCCCGGGATCTCTCGCGGCTCGGCCCCCCCCCCTCCCCGAAATGTTGGCCCTGCATCAGACCTTGAATTCTACAACGCAGTAGAAGCGAAAATTGCCAAATAAGTTCAGACATAATAATGATATAATTTACTCTTCCTACCTCGACCATGACGGTGTCTTAAAGACTTCGGACTTCGCTCTTTTTAGCGTCCAAATAGGTTACTTGAATAATCATGCGAATTTTATAGTCGGAGTATCGAGAGCGTTTACAGTTTCGAGGCAGCGTTGAAATTAAATCTGTACGTAGAAAAAAGATTTCAGTTCCTGCGAGGGAATTAGGACCAGATGAAAATTCAAGGAATGACATGTCTGGTAGCGCGATTGAGGAGATTTGGGTGAGCATTCGGCTGCATTAAAACTCGGCCGGGGGAAAATGAGAACAATTGACTGAACAGCAACTTCCTGTAGGAACTTATATTAAAAGCTGCTTAAATTAAAAATAATTATATTTCATTAATATCGTTCTTGAAGGAAAAATGATAAATTATGTCCAAAATTTCTCTTACATTTCTTCTATTAAATTTATTCATAAATTTTCCCCCTATTTCTACAACCGAGTTTTCGTCCGGTCTGCAAACAACAGAAAATTCATTTCACACCAACGGAATTGTTTTTCCCATACAGATTTAGAAGTTAGTTCAAGAAAGGGAAGTTAACGGAATGAAATCATCAAAGTAGGTTTTCACCAGCTTGAAAAACCACCTAAGAAAGCGCAAACTGTCCTTAAGAGCGTCAAAGTAGCATCGAAATTTCGACTCGGAACGACACAAGTTCCCGAGCCCTCGTAACTATTATCACTATTGACTATTGACTGTTCTTACTGATAATACACTGATTCTACTTTAGAGAGCTTTTCATCGGCTCGCCGGCCGAAGCGTTTCGCGTGATTCCCGCAAGGAAGTCATCCAGGAAAAACTATCTAAAGCTCAGGCCCGAAAATTGAGACGTCGTTTGGATACTTTCGCGTCTCGTCCTGGCTGAAAGCCACCAGCGGAGTTACGGCGGTCTCGCCCGATACTCGCTCGCGGGGATTTTCGTCGACCTCGTTGAACTGTCGCGGGTTTCCGGTCAGGGTCAACACCGGCCTTAATTCGCAGGCACCGCTCGTATTGTTTCTGCACGATGTCTCGGCCTCGTTCCACGCTCGATCGGTGAAAGCATGGCGGGTAATTCGCGAGTCGAAAGTACGCGCTCCGCTCGGGCACGGCGAGCCATCAAAGTCAGCCTTCGCGCGCTCGATTACGCGTGTGCGAAGCGGGCCAACGAGATGCATACCTCTACACATAGATACGCGTGTGTGTGTGTATGTATGTGTGTGTGTGTGCATTAGGCCAATTAAACGCTCGGATGATGACGGGGAAACAATATCCCTCCTCGCGTAACATTATCGTTCTCGCGATACTATTTTCGATCGGATTACGTGGCGGATCGGCGTTACGTCGGCGAGATGGCCCGAAAGAAAGTTGCATTATAAAATTATTCGTTATATATTACGCGGATATATCGCAATTTAATTCGACCGCCCGCGTAATCGCGACGTTACGATAGCTCGTTACTACGGGACGATGAACAACGTCGGACTTGTGGGAGGAGAGATCCTCGAGGTAAACGAGCCTCGGGGCTTCCACAAGTGAAAATCTAAAGTGGCACAAGCGGTGCAAAATGGAACATCTAATTCATTTTCCGTCGCGGCAACATTACAAGGCGAGAGATTAATGTGGAAAGTTTGCAGATGTATCGAAGTACCAAGACTGACAGATGTGAGACGCGTCTCATCCGCTTTGCTAAAACAAAACTTCAAATTCTCAATATTCGACATTGAATATTTAATTCACTTTCTATCGTGGCAAGATTTCGAGAGGAGAAACTTCTCTATTTGCGGAAATCTTCGGATATCGAGACCGGCAGATGGTGCGCGTCTTATCGATTTTCCTTCCGCAACCTCTCGAAAACTCGACGATTACCGTTCAAATAGCTCTCGCGGTGTCTTCTATTACGGGCACTGGCGCGCGCGAAAGACCGCACGGAGGTTTTCCCAAGGCGAGTAGGCGATGAGAATCGCGCGAAGAGCGAGTATTTTCGGAGCCGATCACGAGAACAGCACCTGCCGCGCCGCAGCCGATGCGGCACCTATTTCTTCGCGCACGAACGAAAGTTCAATCGCGTTTCAATTTCTCCCGCGGCAGCGTTTTCTCCCACAGCCATTTACGCGTTCTCTCCGTGTTTGGCGCGCGCGAGTGTGCTCTGCCGGTGGCTCACACAGGTGCGCGCACGTACACACACACACACATACACACAAGTACGCGTTTACTGGATGGATCTGCACGCGTCGTCGACATGCATTAATTCGCGCTCCGCATACGCGAGCGCGTATCGCGGTTTCGCGGTGAAAATCGCGGAAAGTCGCCGGCACGCGTCGCAACGCGCGTTATTGGCGGACGAGAGAGTCCGATTTTTCGCAGCTCGCCGGCGACTTTCCGCGACGGGCACAATGAGCTCTGTCTCCCATTGTCCGAGCGGGAAAATAATCGCGGGACTAACAAACCAAACGACCGGCGTTTCCTTTTCATTCGGTAAAGAGAGAGAGAGAGAGAGAGAGAGAGAGAGAAAGAGAGAGGGAGATCAGAGACGAGAAAAAAAATTTTCGCCGAGGAAACGAATTATTATTTTTTTCAAGTAAAACCATCATTTAAACGTCACGCTCAATTAAATGCTACGTGGCGTTAAATGCTACGTGGCTCGAATGAAGGGAGAGAACGATCGTGTTATCGCGATCAGAAGTAGTCTCGATGGAAAAACCATCTATCTTTCGAATCGAAATGTTCATGCTACTTTGACGCTCTTATGGATAGTAATTGCACTCACTTTAATTAGACCGTTGACTAATAAAAGCTTACTTTGACGATACCAATATTCGTTAACCTCTCTTTTGAATCTTTAACTCTGCAGATTCCATTTTAACGCCACCTTGAACAGCCTATCTTGACGCTAAAATAGCGAAAAGCGACATTTAGGACTCATCATCGGAGTCGAAGTAGGAGCAAATTGTATCGTTAGAATTGAAATGTTCTTTCAGCCTATTTTACTATCTTAGTCACTACCGTATTGTAGACTGAAAAGTTTAACATAGGGCCGAGATTTCGGGTTCTCGTCGGTGCACTCTCTCGTCTTTCAGGAATCGCCGAGCGCAGGATCGTCTGCTACTACACCAACTGGTCGGTGTACCGGCCGGGCACGGCGAAGTTCTCCCCTCAGAACATCAACCCGTATCTATGCACCCACCTGATCTACGCGTTCGGCGGCTTCACGAAGGACAACACGCTGAAGCCGTTCGACAAGTACCAGGACATCGAGAAAGGTGAGGTGGAAGACATATTTAGCGCATTACTCGCGCTGAACTTCGGTTCACTCGCCTGCGCGAGTACCTGAGCTGAGCCGGCTGAGTGTTCCTCGCGAGCTACTCGGCGGTTGCACGGCATCGTGCGACTCTAGCCGTGGCACATCATCCTCAGCTGATATTTAACTTTCACTCGTCGATTAACACGCTCGCTCGCTGACGCGCGACAGGTGGTTACGCCAAGTTTACCGGCCTGAAGACTTACAATAAGAACCTGAAGACGATGTTGGCGATCGGCGGGTGGAACGAGGGCTCCAGCCGATTCTCACCGATGGTGGCGGAGCCGACGCGACGGCGCGAGTTCGTGAAGAACACCGTCAAGTTCCTCAGGCAGAATCACTTCGACGGGCTCGATCTCGACTGGGAGTACCCGGCCTTCAGGGACGGCGGGAAGCCGCGAGATAAGGACAATTACGCCAACCTCGTGCAGGTAGGTGCTTGTCCAACAACTCGCTGCTTATCTCGCCCCCGCGAGCAGGATACCACCGGAGAGATTTCTCTCGAGGAAAATCTCCTCTCAAGCTCTTCGATCGGCGGAAACGCGCGTCGACGCGCGTGAAGCTGATCGGCGACCGATTGCACGCGACTTCGCGGTCTAATCGCAGAAGCAAATCGCGAGAGAGTAACTCGAATCGCGGCGACTAATTGCGAATCATAGAGGCGGCGTTAAAACACGGGCTTCTTCGATAAGGATCACGAAACACGAAGGAAAGCAACGGCTTTAATAACAGCCCGAGCGCGGTAGTTCACTTCCGCTGTATCGCTGAACGGCGTTATCGCGGATCGCGACACGCCGGGCGTGAACGCTCGATCCCGCTCGTCAATCGTTAATTGCAAATCGGCAGGAACTTCGCGAGGAGTTCGAGCGTGAGGCCTCGAAGACAGGCAGAGCGCGCCTGCTGCTGTCGATGGCGATGCCGGCCGGCATCGAGTACATCGACAAAGGCTACGACGTGCCCAGGTTGAACGACTACTTAGACTTCGTCAACCTGCTGTCCTACGACTATCACTCGGCGTATGAGCCCGCTGTCAATCACCACTCGCCGTTGTACCCCCTGGAGGAAGACAACGAGTACAATTACGACGCCGAGCTGACTATCGTGAGTACCTTGTATCGTCTCTGTAGCTTCTCCTTAAACCCCCTTCGAGAAGTAGGTACACCAGAGTTGGAGGTGCCCATTGAAATAAAAGCTCTACATAATTACATAATTACGAGCGACATTTCGAGGTACGTGCCTCGTGTTTGGAGACACTATACAACAGGGAGCATGGAGCATGGTCAACAGTGCGGAATCATCACACATTGAGAGGGGAAATATTTAAGAAATCAAAACAATATGTATCCGATGAGTGCTAATAACATTTAATTATAACAAATTTACTCGTAACCACTTATAATATATGTGTTCTTATATTGAAGAAATTTCTTTTCAAATGAGAAAATACATATTTTCGGAAATCTATCGAGCTTTTCATGAGAACGATCGTTTATTCTATTTAAATAAGAGAATTCAGATTTAATAAATATGACATTAACGTCACAGGAACACACTCGCTCCGATCGAACGAAACATTCGCGCGTATGGAGTCCACAGTCACACACTAAGCTTGAATGGAACATTCTCTCCCGCGACTTCGAGTGAAAATACCGCCACTTTTCGCATGATTTCAGTGAGATTCCATCTCAAGAAATGCAGATAGTTCACCTCGGCTATTTCGCTATATCTGGATACTCGCGAGTGATCGAGTAAATTCGATTACGCAATACCCGCTCGTCGTTTCAGGATTACACGATCAGCCACCTCCTGGAGAAAGGCGCGTCCGCGGACAAGATCGTTCTCGGAATACCGACGTATGGCCGGTCGTACACCTTGTTCAACCAAGACGCGACCGAGCTGGGCTCACCGGCGGATGGCCCGGGTATCGAAGGAGAGGCCACTCGAGAGAAAGGTTACCTAGCTTATTACGAGGTGGGTTGACGCGGCCTAACTTGCCGGGAGATTACCTCTCTTGCGTGTCTCGTGTGCAACGCGAACTTTGACTTCCCAGATCTGTGAGGGTATAGCGGAATCCGAGGACTGGGAGGTCGTCCAGCCGAATCCTAACGCTATGGGGCCGTACGCCTTCAAGGAAGACCAGTGGGTGGGCTACGACGACGAGGACATAGTCAAACTGAAGGCCCGCTATGTGAACGAGAAGAAGCTGGGCGGCATCATGTTCTGGTCGATCGATAACGATGACTTCCGCGGCAAGTGCCACGGCCGACCTTATCCATTGATCGAGGCGGCGAAAGAGGCCTTGCTCACGGACAACAGGTAAGTTCTGTTGATATTTACGGCCCCACCTCAGCGTCCCCCTGAGTCCTCGCCCCGGTAGAACCAAGGTGATTGAACTTCATGGGGCGACAGGTTGAGCCCTGCCGGCAACTGCGATTTTTATCGTTTAAAAGCGTGTACGATGATTTTATCTCAGAGGGAGACGTTGAATTAATCGCATCTCTCGCAAACTTTCGCAAGAGAAGTCCAAATTAATTTAAGCGTTCTTGCTTATCTGTGTTGGCATATTTCGCGCGATTTCATTGTTTCCATGTATCTTTGTTCTTTTACCGAGGTTAAACTGAGAAAAGAGAATGTTTGAATTTTCGCCCGAAGATCGCTCCGAACTTCAGCCGCGTAATACTTCGTGTCGTTATCGCGCAGCAGAAATACTATTGACAAGTCGAAGTCAGCGGACGGTCGAAAGAAGACTCGCACTCAGACCAGCCAGAGCAATTCCCTCGTTCGCAAGTTGGGCTCGAGCAGCCGAAGAAGCACCACCACAGCGGCCCCGGCGGTGAGGAAACGCGTATCCTCGACGAGAACGAAGTATCGCACCATCGCGAGGCCGAAAGCGAGCGACGAGGAGCAGGAGGATCGAGAGGTGTCGAGAAGATCGTACGAATCGTCCGCGGAGGAAGACATAGAGGGCAAAAACACCGTCAGGGTGACGGAGAAGACTGAGCGGCCGAAGAATCGGAGTCGAAGCAAGACGCGCAGCGGCTCCACCGATCGCAGCTCTCGCAGGAAGCAATCCAGACGCAAAAGCCAGACCAAGACCGACGACGGCGAGTCTTTGAGCAACAAGCTGACGACACCCGAGCCACCGACCACTCCGGATCCGGGGACTGGTAAGTATTCGTGAGAAACGTACGTCGATTAGTCATTCGGGAACTCGATCTGGATTACCCGAAGGATCGACAATTTCACGGAAATATGAAGAAAAGAGACTGAGAAAGTTGAAGTACCTGTGAGCTGGGAATTCTTGCCGCATATATTTTTACAGACTTCAAGTGCGAGGACGAAGGCTTCTTCTCGCATCCCCGAGACTGCAAGAAGTATTTCTGGTGCCTGGACAGCGGTCCGGGCGGACTCGGCGTGGTTGCACATCAGTTCACCTGTCCGTCAGGTAAACTTGCAGGAAGATGGTATTTTTAGGAATGTTTCACTCTCCGATTACTAACTCCCTCTTCACAATCCACGTAGGACTGGTGTTCAACAAAGCGGCGGACTCCTGCGATTACCCGCGCAATGTGATCTGCCCCAAGTCGAAGACGACCGTCGTCTCGACCACCAGGTCGCCCATCACGGCCGCGACCAGCCGAACGACCTATTTGCACAGCACGACGACCGCGAAGGCGGAACCGGCGGAAGAGGAGTACGATTCGGAGGAGGATTACGACGACGATGAAATCGAAGAGAGCGAAGAAGAGGAGGTGAAGCAGGAACCGAAAATCACCACGACGGCGAAGCCGCTCGTATACAAGACGCTCACCAGAAACAGGCCGAGTACGACCACCACAACGTCGACGACTTCGAGATCGAGCGGGTCGGAAAAACCCATCGACATTGAGGACGAGGAGGATCCGCGGGTGATCAAGGAACTGATCGATCTCATTAAGAAAGCAGGCAAGCATTTTCTTCTTGCTTCCTTAATAAATATTTAGTAAAATATAAGCAATTAAATAAAATATAATAATAATTAATAATTAATAAAATATCAATAATTTAATAAAAAGATAATTCTTACAATAAAAACTTAAGCAATAATAGAAAGAACACAATATAAAAAAATATATGAAGCTTCTCTCTTAGAAATAGAGTTCCAAAAATAAGATTCCAGAAATAAATTTCTATAGAAAAGTTTTTATAGTAAATAAATTTCTGTTTCTCTCTCTCTCTCTCTCTCTCTCTCTCTCTCTCCAAATTTTAGGCGGAATAGAGCAGCTCGAGAAACAATTGCTGCTCCAGGAGAAAAACTCTGACACGACGTCGGGTAGCGCGAGCGTCACCCCGGCTGCAATCAGTCGCAGTTTGTACGAACGCGTGCTAAATCGCCAGGCGAACAAGATCGCCGGTCAACAGCCGGTATTGTCGTCTGCAGAGACCAGTTACGTGAACGGGCCAGGAAGAGCACAGTTCGAAGGCTTGGACGATATCCCCGAGGTGAAGAGTCTCAGGCGATCGCAGAAGCCTCAATACGTCACCATCGAGAGACCCAAGTGAGTTCCCTTAGTCTCTTATTTATCGATACATGTAACGAAGACACTTGACACCAACCGGTTTTCACCAGCTGGTTTCGTCATCGAGTCAATTTGCTTTGACTGCGATTTAACTTCCCTTCTCTGATATCATCTGTGAAACGAGACGATTAAGCGGCGATTAAACTCAAACAACGTTGGTGAGATCGAGTGTCCTGTTCATGACATGTACATTTCGATAATAGATCGAACAAGAAAGGACCGGGGAATGAAGACGAAGACGAGGACGAGGAAGACGACAACGCTGAGACAGCGTTCTCCGAGGAGCAGAGCGTCAATAACCCATTAGAAGGTGGCTCGTCCACGCAACGAGTGACGCCAAATTACGTGAACATTCGACGCGCGCGACCTTCCACCACCACGTCCAGGTAGGACGGTCGGTAGAGCAATTCGCTTCACACCGTGTCTCTGATCGTGCTTTGAAACTTTCAGGAACGAGAACGACGTGGGAGAGAAGGAAGTCGAGGAGGAGAGACCGACTCGCAGACGACGGCCGTCCTTCTCTACCAAGTAAATTCAATTACGTTCAATATCCGCAGTCGACACTTGCGAATTCTATGACATCGGAAATTGTTAATATCGTGTAATCGTTTTCCACAGGCAACAGGATAACGAAGCAAACTCTGAAACGTCCAAATCCTCCCGAAACCGAGGTTCAATTTTCAGGTATGGAAAGATTGCACAAATGTATCGTAGATACATAATGTGATGCAAGAAAACGTGATTATTGTCTTAAATAATTATTTATGTTGGTTACAAATAGGAATTTAGAGAAGAATGACGGCTCGGAAGGTGCGGATCGATCGGCAGAGGACGACGGCTCGTCAACTACGAAATCTAGGTTTTTACGAACAATCTTCCTTCCTCTCTCTCTCTCTCTCTTCTTCTCAGCAATCTCTTCACATCACGTGTAATTTGACGCTCTCCCGTAAACCTCCCAGGTACGTCAGCATACAAAGATTTCGAAGCACCACTTCGAGGATCCCGGAGGACTTATCTAGCGCGATAACACCGTTATCGGAGCCTGTGATCGAGACCGCTTCGCCTTACACGAGAGTGCAAGAATACCCTCAAGTGTTCAGCACGCCAGCCAGCACGACGACCTCGTCGTCCACGGCCTCCACGCCGACCACCTCGACGTCTACCGAGGTCATCACCGTCATCAGCGTCGAGCCATCCGACAGCCCTTCGAGCGTCAGTCCGGCGATCGACGCTACGATCGGCTCCACCACGGAGCCGGTGAAGCTGGTGGAAGATTCCGCGACGGAGATCCTGCTGACCACGGTACCGGGGAGCAGCACGAGCCAGTTGACGACGACAACCACGACCACGGCGAGCAGGTCGACGATCGCCGCGGTGTCGCAGCCGCGACCGTTCGGTTTCACCAGACGAAGATCCGGCGGCTCGCCGGAGACGGCGACGACGACTCCGTCGAGCAACCAAGTGAGGTCCAAGGTGAGTATAACGTCGCGAAACCTCACGCGCTCGTCCAGCCCGTACCTGGGGCGAGTTCGATTAAGGAGACCGAGCAACGGAGTCCGAGTCGCCGAGGACGAGCCGGTGGAACAGGTGGACGCTCCGCGAACGGACACGTCCAGGAACAAGGACACTGGTAGAACGCGCGTCCGGGGATCCAACAGGTACCCCCCGTCGACGCATAGGTCGCGGACGGAGGACACTGTGTCCGCGAACTCAGTCCCGGGGAGATACAGAGAGCGAAATAGGACGACCAGCAGCCCTACGACCGCCGGCAACATCGGCGGTTTCAAGAAAAGATACCGGCGACCCAGCAGAACCAGCAGCACCGAGTCCACCAAGTCCAACGAGTTGGACGACAGTCCGATCGTCAGGATAACGCAAGACGGCGCGAGGAGGAATCCGCCGTTCCGCTCGCGGGCCGAGAGCAACGACGAGGAGAGCAACGAGAAGAGCAACGAGAAGATCACGAACATCAGGGTCTTCCGGAGACCTGCCACCGTCAATCGCGACCTGTACGACAGGAACAAGTACACGAGGAAGAGGAACAACGTGGACTTTGAAGCGGACTCGGCGCAGAAGGCGGACGACGAGTCGAATCAGAAGCGGACGACGACGACGACGCTGAAGGTGCCCGATGAGAACGTCACTGCGGAGCTCGACAAGATCGAGAGAAGCGACTCGGTGAATATCGTCGATCAGGGTAACGACACGACGACGACGGTCGACTCCGCCCTTGAGTCCAACACCATCGAGCCTTACACCACGCGACCGACCGCGGAGACCGACGCCACGACTGCCCCCAACGACAAGGTGGACTACACGAGCGACCGACCCGAAGACGCCGTCGCCACGACGACCGCGCGGATCGAGAGCCACGAGTTCAATCCCGACCTGGCGACGATCGCCTCCCCCGAACGCGTCGGTCTCGACAACGCGTCGGAAGTGCCGAGGAGACGCAAGGTCATCCTGAGGAGGCGGCCCGTGTCGAGCACCGCCGCCAACGCTGTCGAGGTGGTGGAGGAGGAGGAGCAGAAATCGTCCCAAGTGGCGCGTAGGCGGAAAGTGATCAAGCGAATACGTCCGATTCAAGACACCTCGTCTCCGACTTCAGCCGAGGCCACTCTCGAGGAAGAGGATATCACGAGTTCTCTTTCGGAACCGACCACGCCGATGGGTCGTAAAGATACTGAAGGATCGACGCTCGTCACCGGTCAACCGACAGTCACGGGCGAAATGGAGGACTTCACTCTAACCGAAGGCACGGAGACCACCTTGACCACGAACGACGACATCGACGGCTCCACGAAGGTCACTCTGGAGACGCCCGTTCCAGAATCCACGACGCCTTCCGACGCAGGCATTACCGATTTCCTCAGCACCGCCGCTATGTCCACGTTCGACGTCGACCAGGAGTACCGCTCGACCATCGGCGCAGAAGCCACCACGGCGGAGTCGACGTTGGCGACAGCCGACCTCACGGAGAGCGACGCGTTCCTGGAGGAGACGCTGTTACCGTCCACCCAGAATTCGCCCACCGTCCGCGCGCAGACGATCTCCACATTCACGTCCACGCCGGAGCCCGACTCGTCCGCCGCTACGAGACCGAACTTCGAGCCGAGGTACGCGCGCAGGAAGTTCATTCGCAAGATCCCGCTACCGTCCACGGGGAACACGACCGACCGGTACCCGGTGTCGTCAACGGAGGACGGCAGCTTGGAAGTTCTCTCGAAGCGCAGGAACAATCTTTTCGTCAGACGCTACCCGGTCTCCTCCACGAGCGCCAGCACTCTTCGCGATGAATTCAAGTCCGAGGAAGCGGAGGATAATTCTCGTGATTTCGAGCAAGAGGAAGCCGCGGATGACAATTTCTCGAAGGGCTACGGCGTGAGCGGTGAGCCGGCCTCGACCGGCGCTGTCCTCAGAGACGAATCCGCGGAGTTCTGGCGGCGTTACACCCCGGCATCCTCCACGGCTTCCAGAAGTTACCTCTCGGATCGTCCGGAAGACGTTGAGGATCGCGCGACCAGGGAATTCACGGATCAAGACTCGCATCGTTCGACGCTGAGCGTCAGCCGCAGGCTCGAAGTGCGCCCGCGATACAAGGTCCCCGCGATCCTGAAGAGACCCTTCGATCCTGAAGAGGCTCTCTCGCCTAGACGGTTTCACCCGTTCGACTCTGCGCCCGAGGAGTCCGAGGACACACCGGAAACGAAAGACGGCAGACTCAGGCAGTCTACTTTCAGACAACCACGCACACGTTACAGGCTTCTCGAGCGCGGTAACGTCAGGGTCGAAGACGCCACCGTAGCGGACACGGCGACGTTGGCTCCGGAGGCGACGACCTGGCAAAACTTCCGGACGCGTTCGTACTCGAAGCGCCCGTTGATCACCACCACCACCACCACGGAAGCAGCGGTCACGGAGACCCTGATACCGGCCAAGAAGTTCGATTACGCGGCGGACGCCGTTCACCGGAAATCACTGAGGACGACGACGCCGAAGGCGGCGCCGGGGAGCGGCGATTCGCTCTACGACTCGAACCTGGTGGACTACGCGAGCACGACGACGACGAAGCCGCTGGTCACCAGACTGGTCACCTCGGTGGCCGAGTCCGGCACCACCGAGAGGCAGAAGATCCTCATCAAGACCAAGTACTCGTCGCTGACGTCCACCACGAGGATACCAGCGGACCAGTTCCTCTCGACGACCCCGACGCCGTTCGCGGTGACCGGAGCGTCCGACGACGACGACGAGTCCGTCAACGAAATCCGTCCGGGAGTCGAGCGCTCCACCCTGCCAATCGAGGGCGAATTCAACTATCGCTACGGCCGCTTCACCACCGAGTCCCACGAGTCCTCGACCATCGAGATCGAGTCGGTGTTCAGCAACCTGATCGCCGACAAAGCCTCCGCGAAGTAACAGCGAGACGACGCAAGTCGTTACCCGATCCTCATCGGACGCCGATGTCGATCAATATGTATATAAGATACACAGCCATTTCGAAGGTCCCCGAAGCGACCCTCTCGGGGCCGATCGGTCTAGGATTAATAGACGCCTGCGATTGATGTTCGTCGACCTCAACATTACTAATGTACATAGAAATAAATAGCGCGTTTAAGTGTATATGTATACTTGAGACACCAACGAGAGATGGACCGTTTGTTAAAGTACAGTTACACGAGCATGTGTGAAGCGGAAGGACAAGGACTCTCGCCCCGGCACACGACGACCGACCGAATAATCGTCTTCACGCATTACCACCAATCACCACCATCATCAATAACGACGAATCATAATGAGCACCTCCATCCGCTTACGTCTCTCTCTATCTCTCTCTCTCCATCCCCCCCGCCCCAGAGGAACCCCCGACCGAGACCTCTGAATATAACTTTCGACAACGTAGCCATCACGACGAACCAACACCACCTTAACGACTTCACAACGAGCGCAAGTACGATCATCACTAAACGCCACTTCAACCGCAGGAACGACCGCTTATCATCCGCGCATTAACGCAGCAAGCGAGAGACACGCACTCGTTCGCGGCGCTTCGACAGCTAAAGAGGCCCCCCCGAGGGTCTCTTCGCCCTCCCACTCATCATCTCCGGACGTTGCGGCGCGCGCACACACATACACGCGTACACAGAGACAGAAAGAACCGCACGAGAAAAAGATGACGAAATGAGACGAAGCGGGAATGACAGGGGGGAGAGGAAAGGAGAGAAAGAGGAAAGAGGGGAGGATCCTGGAGGATCTCCCGGCATTAAAGCGCGCTGCCTTGTTCTGCTTTTCAGGTCGCCGTTTCGGAAGCTATCAGGCTGCCGACCCTGAGGGAGCTGATCGGCTATCCGACGACCTACGATTTTACCGTCACGGCGCCGTCCGTGTTCTCGCACTTGCCGCGCTTCGACGTGGACAACGACATTAGCCGGCAGACCGCCGATGAGCTCGGCGACCTGCCGAGCGAACTCGCGTCAGATCGCGAGGGAGAGCTCGCCGAAGAGACCGGCAACTCGTGGCTACGGCAAGCCTCGGAGAGTAAGGTGAGATCTCGCGCTGCGGAGGACAGCGGAGACGCCGTCCTCCCCGAGGAACGAGCGGCGGTCACAAACGCTATTGAGGAAGATGAGAACGGACAGACCTACCTGAAGCCGACCACCATGCGCGGCATCCCCCTCGAGAGTCTCACCTCCAGCTCGGTGATGCGTGGCTTTTACGTCACCAAGAGCCACGATGACTCATCCACGTGGACGGAAAGTCTCACAAGCACGTACAGCCCCACCGAGCAACAGGCGGAGACCACTTCGATTCCTGACGTTTCCACGATCGACGAGGGTGTCACCGGCGCTCGGGACGAGCCGGAGTCGAGCAACGACGGAGTCGACGACCACGCGAACGACATCATCAACGACGGAGACGCTCCGAAGTTCACCACCTTCGGCTCCTCGGCGATTTCCTCGGAGGATTCCGACAGCGCGGAGGTCACCGTGGATTACGAAGAGGTGACCGAGACGACCGGGAGTCCCGTCGACGAAGGCGCGTTCAAGAAGGGGAAGTCGCTGCGCGATTTCGCTCGAGGCGGCACATCCCTTCCCAACGCCCCCGTCGTCTCCCCGACGACGCCGACGAGGCGAGCCATCGCCGTCGCGGTCAGCAGGTACAACGAGCTCACCACTCCGCTGTGGGCCGGACGACGCATAGTGGGCAGGAAACGCGTGAGAACCACCGTCTCGCCGATCAGGGACGCCATAAAGCGAACCGAGGGCGGCTTCGTTCGCGGCACGGCGAGTGTCATCGGGACCGCTAGCTCCGTGGCTTCCACGACGCCCTCGACGATCCCAACGACTCCCGTGACCGCGTCGGAGAGCGCGACCGGTCCTATCGACGAGGAGACCGGGGACTCGGGGAATCGCGCGTCGACCACGGAAGCGACGACGACGTTGACCACCGACTCGACGACCGCGGAGAGCGACCCTTCGACGGCCGACTTCGTCGAGGATCTCGCGTCGAAGATCACGGATGGTCCCGAGACACCCGCGTCGGCAAGCTTCACGGACGACGCTCCCACGGTCGCACAGTCTCTGGCTGCGACCGACCCCACGATCACGACTACTACGTTCGTCGTGGACGAAACCACCTCCGCGAACTATCCCAGCGCCGCTGCCGTGGGTGAAACGACCGCTGTCGACGCAGCCGAGAGTACCACGGGCGAAGCTCCCGCGACTGCGAATTACCTCGCGATTCCAACGGAAGCGTACGAGCGCTCGGGCACCAATGCTCCCACGACCACGGAACCCTCGGCGGTCCAGGTGACCACCGATACGATCGTCCTTACTGATCCCGTATTAACGACGTACAAACCCGCGGCCGACGTACCAGCGACTACGAGCGTGCCCGAGGTTACGAGCGACCCCGCGACTACACTTGAGACTACGAGCACCGAAGCTGAAGCCCCTTCCACGATCGCAAATTACCCCTGGAACACCGTCCCGACGACTGTCCAAGAGGAACCCTCGACCACGGGCATTCCGGAGACCACTATGGTACTGACCGAGATCGAAAGCACGACTGCATACGCGACGGATCCGATATCCACGACTGCGTCTGTTCCGGCGACTATTCCCGTGACCACCGACCTCCCGTACACGGTCGCAGGGTCCGCAACTCCCGCGGTTACCTCCGTGATACCCGACACTTCGCCGGCCGATCCTGAGACCACTTTCGCGACTTGGTCTGAAGTTCCCGCTGCAAACGCGGGCCCGACTTCGAGTTCGACTGAAGGCGCGAGCTCAACGACCGAGTCGCCTGCGATATCTTTCACAGCTCCGACCGACGTCGATAGTTACGTCGAGGTATCGACCGTCACGGAGACCGCGAAGTCCACTTATATCACCGAGCTACCTACGACGTTCGAAACCACCCCGACACTCGTCGCGACAACGACTGTGACCCCGAGCTTCCTCGCTACCGATTCCGGGACGACGTTGGCCGCGACGATTGCACCCTCCACGGAAATCGACGAGGCTTCCGCGACACCGACGGTCATTCCGACCTCTTCGACGTTCCTCCCGATCGCCAACACGGTGACCGTAGCTCTCGGAGAGCCCACGGTTTTCTCGTCGGTCCCCGCGATCTCCCACGAGTCGATAGCGACGAATGTGATACCTGGAACTACCGCGAGAAGCATCTACGAGGTGAGTTCCGCGAGAGCAACAACGAGCGAAGAGTCTAGCAGGCCGAAGGCAGTCTTCGAGGAGACCACCGTGAGACCCGCGCAAAATCGAACGAGAGGTCGAACGAGAGCGGAACTGGCCGCGATCGGTCATGAATTCGGCCAGAGGACCTCCGGGCGAACCGTCGTTCACCGTCGCGTCGTAAAGCGGCCGGTCGACGGGAACGTCGAGATGCCTACGACGACGCAGCCGACCAGGCAGTATCCCCGACGTCGAGTCACAGTGTATCGCGGCCGGCCACGAAAACCGACCCACACGACGAGAGTGGCCGAGGAGAATCGGAGAAGGAGAATCGTACAGAAGAGACTACGAGCTGGGCCCGAGGCGACCAGCGACACTGTCAGATCCGACGAGAACGTCGTCGACGTTCAGGATACCACTTCAGGAGAACGTGTCGCACACGTTCGAGTGGAAGGCGCGGGCAGGAGAAAGAAGGTGATACTGAAGAGAGTCCGAGAAAAGAGCGGGGAGAAAGGAACGAGTGTTTCTCCCGCGGTAGGAACGATGGTGCTCGGAGAATCGTTCAGTTTGGCGAAAGACGAGGCGCTTCGAGCTCGGGGATGGGTAGGGAAGGTAGGAAGAAGGCGGAAAGTCGTCTTGAAAAGAATCAAGCCTCCTCAACCTGAGGGCAACTCGGAGAGGAAAGAAGCCAGTGGCGACACCGACTCTCCTGGACACCAGCCAGGCAGATCGGTCGAGGTGGAAAAGATGAGAAAAAGAACGAGAGTCGTGCTGAAGAGACTCAGGCCTAAATCCGAGGGAAGCGTCTCCGCGAGCGGAAGAACGAGAGTGAATGCCGATTCCAGCGAGGAGAATCTCACGCACGCCCTTCCGACCGATCTTCACGCCGACGATAACCTTGCCGACGAAGGGAACGCGAGAAGAAGAATGAGAGTAGTGTTGAAGAGCGTGAAACTTGCCTCCGAGGAGAGAAACGCGAGCGGGGAAACTCACGCGGATCCGGACGCCACGAAGGAGACTCTCCGGGGTGACTTCTCGAGCAGCGGATTTCGCGCCGGCAGGAATCTCTACGGCGAAAGGACAGGCAGAAGAATGCGAGTGGTGCTGAAGAACGTCAGACCCAAATCCGAGAAAGAAACGGACGCAGCGGGCGAAGAGGGTGAGGATCCCGAATCCACCGGCGACGATCTTCAGGGCAACTTCTCGAACAATATGTACGTGAGCGACGATCTCGCGGACGATAGGAGGAAGACGACGACGCGATCGAAAGGCGGGGGGGAAGAGGAAACGACGACGAGCGAACAGCAGACGGAGCCGCGCGCGGAGCTGCGTACCACGGAGACGACGTCAGTCCGGGTCGAGGAGGACACTGATCGGCCCTCACACGAGGTCAGTGCCGCTTTAAAACCGGAGAGTCTTGACTTCCCCGCCCTGAATGTCCGCTACGTATAACAAACGCTGTAACTCCTTGACCGGTCGCATGTTGCCTTAACCAAACGGGACAACGTCGTCGTCGCCGCCGGAGCGAGGACAGAGAGGGGAAACGAGTCTAACGAGTCTAATGAGCCTAACGGGAAGCCCATGAGGACGGAAATAACCTCCGTTTTGCGACTCGCTTATCGCCGCAAGCACCGGCCGCAAGTGCTTCTTTTTGCCGTTAAACCGAGAGACCGCGATCGACCGCCGTCGTCGCCTTGCCGTCTCGGCTTGAAAGCAATCAGGGAGTCAGCCGAGTCCCCGAGGAGACGCCTCTCGCTCAGCATGACACACCTTCTCGCTGGGATCTGCTATACCTCTCCGAGGGCGCTTTCGTAGCCTAATCGATCTGTCTCGACGGCAGTAACACCGGTATCTTCATCGGCGTATGGAAGTTAACGTAAGGGCGCAGCACACGAAGAGGTCGCTTCAAATAATACCGTAATAATCTCGCCCGGCTGGCTGTAATCATCGTAGATGACGGAGGCGACATTTCTCTCGCTCTATCGCCTCTGTCACGTCTGCTCTCACGTCTAACCGAAATAATCCATCCCCGAACACGGAACGACGCCGTCCGACGAGCGGCCGATTCGGAAGGAAGCCAATCTGTAACTCCGGTAGCTTTGCATCGCGAACGCCTGCTCAGGACGACGAGATCCCATCGTGATCGTCGTTTTCATCGTCGTCGTCGCCTATCTCTCGCTCTCTCGCTCTCTTTCTCTCGCTCGATCTAACCGAGACGCCTCCCGAGAACACGAGAAACCGAGCTATCGCTCTTTGCGTGGCTACAAGCAAATCATCAGCATCATCATCGCATTGCCTGCCTACGAGGACACGTAGCGCTACTCTTCTCTCTCTGTCTCTCTCTCTCTACGGCTACTCGAGATGTCTCTACTTCGGGATGCAACAAGGAAGCGAATTCGGGAAACCTGATTTCTCTCTCTCTCTCTCTCTTTCTTTCTGTCTCTATATCTGAACAAACGCTCTGACACGCGAACAGATCCGAAGTACTCTCGGCATCTTCATTCGCAGCTAGTTCCCCTTATCGTCGATTAACAAACTGCCCTTTCGAGAGGCGCGCCGCACATTTCCGCGCGCGCCCACTTCGCTTACTCTGATGTGTCTTCAGTATCTCTTTACCTTAATTGATATCTATAAGCTTGCTTCGCTCGAGATGACGGACATGTACATGCGTCCGTCAACAAAATCGAGATTTACCGAGTTTCGTTATTAATACGCCGATAACCCGGTAACGCATTTCGCTGCGCGCGCTATATAAATCGATTGCCCGGTAAACAGGTAAATACCTTGAAGAACGACGCTGGTGGATCAGTCAGTCGCCAACCGGTCAGCGGGCGCTCCAACAGGCAGAGGGCACCGACCACGACGCTCGCTCCGTTCACCAACACCCTGGCCAGCGCGTCATCGATCACTCACCGAAGAAGCAGACCTTTTGCAGAAACCACGTTGTCAGCGAGGATAGATCTTGTCGGTAGGTTCAACGTTTCCTGCTTCCTTGCCGCAGCTTCTTGACTGATTGATCACATCAGAAGCAAGAGAATATCCATATAGCACAATTAACAAAGGACATCTTTGGGACGTCCTTTGTTAATTGCTGGAAGTTTATGCTGTACGGGTATATGTGAAAAATGTTTGCAGAATACGTTGAAGAAAAAGATATTCCAGTAAACGAGAAATCATTAAACGTTATTACAACGTTGTTGCGATAATATTTTATAAAATGTAACGTTTGAAAATATGTAATTCTTAATGTTGTACACAACGTCCGAAACATTAAAAATAATGTTTCTACACTATGATTTTAATATTTAAGAATACAATATTATCAAGTGACAGTTTAAAAATATTTATAAAACATTCTATCAAAATCTTTATAAAATTCACGTAAAATTAATGTCTTAAGAGATCGACTTAAATGTTTCTTGCTTTGCTGGGATATCCACAAAATGACTCATTGTGATCGGCTGATCGCATTTGTAAGAAACATCCGGAAAACTTTTCGACGTATTTCGGAAAAATCTTGAACACGCGCGGAGAAAAGGGATCGGTTGAATTAACGTGACGATAAACGAATCAAACGCGTTTTGGTTGAAAAGAACAGAATTTCTGGTTCTTTCCGAATTCGGCTCGTAAGAATCAGAAATCCCCGTTTCTTTTAATCCAAACACGTCTGATTCGTTCATTGTCGCGTTAATTCAACCGATTTCCTCGCTTCTGACATGACCACGCAAGACGATCGCAGCGAGGAGCCAAGAAGTTTAAGGAAAAGCAGTATTTGTACCTATTGCCTCCAGCTTAATCTCGACCTCCTCTGAGAACCTTTATCTTCGCGCTCTTTTCAGATCCGCACGAGGTCACCGAGTCGTCGTACGCGAGATCCTCCGGCGCCGAGGTCGATCAGAGAGCGGACGTGTCCGATCAGAGCATCCGCGCCCAAGAGTTCGCGGTAACGCTGGCGGACCCGCCACACTCCTCGTCGTCGGACACTGGTACATTACACTTGCTAGAGTCTGCGCCACCCGACTATCTAATTCTTCTAATCTAAAGTCTTCCTCTCTTTCTCTCACGAGCTTCATCCTCTTCATGGGGGTTTTGTTTGCTATACGCTGTGTTTCGACTAACGAGACATCGCCGCGGCTCGTTTCTTCCACCGAAGCGGCCCTCCCGATCATCTCCTCGACATCGCCGACCCTCATCGCGATCTCTCATCAGACTGTGACAAGTTAATCGACAGACTGGCTTTCTCTCTCTCTCTCTCTCTCTTTCTCTCCGAAGTAGGGTTTCACGTGACAACTCTTGATTGACCAATTCCTGCATCGCGCGACATGCACTCTCATATGTCTGTCTCATGATCTTCGCTTCATGAGTATCCGTCTTCTCTCCTTTCTCGCTACACCTCTCTTCAAAAACGCAGTCACACGTGCGGTCCTGTGCGATCCATGCGCAGATCTCTTCCCCATTTGTCTCAACGTTCGCTGTGTTTACATACTAATGCAAAATCGCAATAACTTCCGTGTTTCTTTCTCTCTTCCTCTCACACTTTCATCGAAGCCCATTAATTTACGGCCAGGTTTATCCGCAATTTGCTTTACTAAGCGAATTAATTACTAATTACTACTCCACTCATGCCACCACCGACAGAATGAACAGTACATGGCATGAATCCAACGGTGGATCCGGAGAGGATCAAAATGGTTGGTTGATTGGTTGGTTGAAGGTTCGGTTTTCAGGAATAACCGCTTCATACCGCCCGTTCTGACAATCGTGCGACAACGAACGATAGGTCTGGCAGGACGATCGTACGCGGATGCTCCTGATATTCCCGACAAGGTTGTCAGGATGCCCGTATCTCTTCGTCCTCCAGCAGTCCTCTGTGCAGCCAGTGCCGAGTCTCATGATCCGGTTGTCTTACTAATTGAATCTCGCTCACTCTTCTCTTCCGTCCTCTACTTGGTGTCATGCTCTTACCGTCTATCTCTCTCTCTCTCTCTCTTTCTTTCTCTCTCTCTCACTCCGGGGAATCATCATCATCATCGTGACCCGCTTACGCCCCCGAAAAGTGACACACCGACTAATCAGCTTCCACGACTGATCAGGTCGCGTGCCGTTAAGGAACGCCGAAAGGCGCAAGATAAGCACCACCATAACACCTAGAACCGAACCCACTTTGGCGAGTAGGGCGGTCTCGAGGTACGACGGTGTTTCAAGGAGCCGGCAAGGGCCCAAGACGAAGGACAGGCTCACGGTGAACGCGACCACGAGGCCCAGGAAACCGCCGGTCGTTGACTACGACTATTACGAGGACGAGGTGCCGATCGTCGCCGGCAAGTCCCTCCTGAACGGCAAGCTCTTCCTCACGAGCAAGGGCACGATACGCTGCCTTGATCAAGGCAACTTCCCGCACCCGTATTCATGCAAGAAGTTCATCACCTGCGCCCGTATGGTGAACGGCCAGGTGATCGGGACCGAGTACACCTGCCCGGCCAAGCTGTCCTTCGATCCGGTCGGCGGCATCTGCAACTGGTCCGCCGGTCTCGGCTGCAAGGACTAACCGAGGTTACCTTAACTACTCGACAGCCGTGTCTCTCCGCGTTTTTTCCGGCTCTCTTTATGTCCGATCGCGCAATTTTCGTTTTGTCACAAACGAAACTGCACATTGAGAAAAAGCTTTTTTTTTCAAATTTAATAAATTTTATTGCATCCAAACGAATTTCATTATTGACATGAAACTTCCAAAGAAACTTCCAAAGAAACGAATGTTTCAATTAATAAGCACGATTGTTAGAGTTTTCAACGAATATTTATCTTATCTTAAATAAAAAAATTTACTTGAAACGAAAGATAATTTTCTTATGAAGAAATTATTTGTTTCATTTTATATATTTATTGTAACCAAATAATATTTTATTTAGTTAAAAGATATTATTTCAAATAATAGCATTCTTTCTGTTAAATAATAGAGTTTTTCTTGAATGAGACATTAAAATTTTTACTCAAACAATAATATTTCGTATATGTTGTTTCCATGAAACAAATTTCAAATAAATAGAAATACTAAATTTGAAGAAACTTTTTCCTCTGTGTATAATTATTCGATAATTATCTGCTGACGAAGAAAACAGGTCACTCGTGACTATCCAAGCGACTTATCCTCTTTATTTATTTCCGCCACTTTTGCGGGGAAATCACTTTTGACGAAGCATACGATTGTCGAGTAGTGAAGATTATTGTCGCTGCGCCCTTCCGGAAGTCCCTGACTTCTCGCGAGAGATACGCATTTACGTAAATTCTATTTTAACTCACTCCCTCTTCGCGAGGGTATATTATTTTAGACTCAAACTCTCTCCCGTTACTCATTACTCGCGTGGGATAACTTCGGATTATTCATTCGGGGAGACTTGACGCGATCGTCGAAGAGGCCGTATCTCCTCCGTTCTCGTCTATCCCCAAAGACAATGATCTTTCCATTTAAACGTCTCTGTGACTAACGAAGCAGTGTTAATATAATACGTTAATATAATACGCAGCGTTAATAGTATACGTTCAATTTTTGTTATTTACCTTCTAAAAAATATTGAAAGTTCTAATACGAAGTTCGGTCATGAAATGTTTCCATCTCGGACAAATTTTTTTTCGGAGAGATATGGGCTCTTCGAGAGAATCGATTACGGTCGCTGATAAAGCGGGCTATTTGATTATTATTATATATATACATACATATATATATATATATATATATATATTCCGACCAAACGTATGAATCTTCTTGTACGACCGTGTAATAGCCATATAAACGAGCGAAAACGCAGTGCGGTGATATTATCGTTAAAGTCTCTTTGTGTAAATATTACATAGTGTTACGTGTAAATAGCGTGTAAGGTAACGTTCTTATCTCGCGCGTAGCGTACCGGGCTTGCTCACTTGTATAAATTTTGTTTTGCGCGGCGCGATCGTTGATAAAGTCTTCCCTACTTGGTGAGGTACGCACGCACGACGAACATTACGAATAAAAAGTTACGAATAAAGAAAAAAAAGCTCCATTGGGAACAACGTAGCGATCGATTCGTGTTGAGCGATTCCATCGAATCCGCATGTATCGGAGATTTTTCTACTTGCAATAAAAGCATCGTTTAACCACCACGAGAGATTCTTCCGTATCCTTACAGCTGAAAACGAAAGCGATTCGTCGACAATACGATGAGAACACGGGATAATGCGCTCGATTAAACGTACACGGAGGAAAAAATCTTGCTAGAACAGCAAATTGTTAGTTACTCTGGTGACAGCAAAAAGGTTTGTTAGACGGAAAATATAATTTTGCTGTTGTAGCGAAACGTTGTTGCGACAGCGATGAAATTTACTCGGCATCGTTAAAAATTAATACCTTTAACAAATCTATTTGCTGTCACTGTGGTAACTAACGATTTACTGTTCCAGCAAAAGTTCTTCCTCCGGATGTGCGGGTAAAGCAAACGCTTCTGCATCATTCTGTGGAAGAGGATTCTCTTCGGGCAGTGCAAGTATTCGCAGGACGATTGCACGCCTCGAGGACGGAAAATGGGAACGAGTGCGGTGTGCTTTCCTCCCTCTTCATTTTCTTTCAAGGATCTCTTTATTTTCCCCGATATTCTTGTTTCACAATGTTATTTGTTATTAATCTAGTTTAGGAAGATGAAATGGGCAGAGAAAAGAAAAAAACAAGTACAGCAGCAGTCGATAGATGTAATGCAACGCGAGACGATCGTGTTTCAAATCGCGAGATTGCCGTTTCGATTGCGCGGCCCTTCGCGGTGTAAAGTAATGACGGTAATAGTAATAATCACAATTACGCGTGTCTATGCTGTATAAATGAGAATGCATTCACTTGTGCTGTAACGACGTTAACGATTATTATTATTATTTTTATTTATTATTATTATTATTCAGTAACAAAGCGTTCGAAGACGTTCCTCATGTCTCACGAATACTCGAAATTCGTTTGCTGTACGCGCATATCGCGATGTGTAGATCGGATACATGTACGTATATACGTTCTCAAGATCAGTATATACTTCCCCTTTTCTTGGTTCTTTTTTGGCATTATACGTATATTTCTCGTTCAGTGTGTGCATGTGAGAAGGTGCGTGTGTGCCTGTGCGTGTGTGTGTGTTCGTCGTTTGTTCACGTGTATACTGTACCAGCAGTCACTCTCTGCTTTGGTGTGTGTGTCTCTGGTTATCCAACTCGTCTCTGTATGCCCAATACATGTTATTCCGAGAGAAAAGAAACGAAGGAATGAGAAATTAAGTGAACTATTTCTCTCTCTCTCTCTCTTTCTCTCTCTCTCTCTCTCTCTCTCTCTCTCCCTCTCTCTCTCTCTCTCTCCANCTCTCTCTTTCTCTCTCTCTCTCTCTCTCTCTCTCTCTCTCTCTCTCTCTCTCTCTCTCTCTCTTTTCCCCTTTCAAAGAAGAAAATGAAAAACGACAGAGAAAAAGAAACGCGTTAAGATAGACACTGAGAAGCGCATTAAAGCCGCAAGCGAAACAAAAAAAAACTTACAGTATACTTTTGCCGATAAGTAAATTGCATTTCACACACGAGCATATTTTTCTTTTTTTTTTGTTTTTAAATCGTGAATGTCAATGACTTTCGCGACAATTCGAACAATAATAATGATGACCCGACGTCGACGTCGCTTGAGACGGATAAGGCTGCGAGTGGTAAAGTTATGTTGTTGTCTGAAACGTGATACAAGAAATGGCAGTCGGCGATTCCGGAGCTTTTACACAGTGAATTCTATTATATTACACAGTTTTAGCGCCTTATCTCTCTCTCTTTCTTTCTTTCTCTCTCTCTCTCTCTTTCTTTCTCTCTCTCCCTTCGCAGATATTTATAAAAATAAATACTTTGAAAAAGTGTTTCGTTCACTATACCGTATAATCGATACATATATGCATATATATATGTATATTGGAACGAGATAATAAATAATTATTACGTCAAATAAATAAATAAAGTTGCTTCGTTTAGCATTCGTTTCGCGTATCTTTAATATATACGATTTACAAAGTATATAAGTGGCGACGGCTTGTCGTTCAGTGGATTTCGTAGTTTTGCCGCGCTCATAAAAAAATATGAATATTATTCGATTTCGAGCGTACGTTTTCTGGATACTTAGCGAGAAGGTCGATTTCCTCTGTATTTTTTTTTTCCTTTTTTTTCGTTTAAGACTCGCAAAGTTCGTTATCATTACTCTTCTGAATTTTCGTGTCGGCGTTTTCGGACGTTTGTGCGAGCATTGATCTTGAGCGAGAACCGAGTACGAACGCTCTCATGGGGCGTGCATCTGTATGATGTGCGAATCGTAGAATCTTTTTTTTTCTTTTTTTTTTCTGAAGGAAGCGCGCCTGAGATGAACTTAGAGTTTACGAACGTTTGGGCTGCAATTACAAATCGTATCGGAAAAATCCAATTTGAGGGAGACATCTCTAAAATCGATATCACGTCAATGGTAAAAATCACAAGTCAAAAAATATATCTATATATATCTTCCACTATGACCGTACAAAATGTAGATAATATAGAGGTCTTTAGAATAAATATATATAGAGGAAATAGTACAATAATTCGGCAAGCCTCCAGTATCAATGCACTCACTAACTTGCGCGCATACCCAATTACGTAGGCTCTTCTCCCTTTTAGCATTGGGTCGCCGGTTCCGAGCACAGCCCGAGATCCCTTTCCGCTCGCGGGAAGGAACGTCGATCAAGATCCTCTTAATTTAAACGTTGGCACTTACCTTCCGAACAGTCCCGCAGAGAAGAATGAAAATCCAAAAACTGTCTCATCCACAAGGTAAACTACATAAAAATATACGTATAGAAGAATAAACATGTAGCAAACGTTCTAGAAGAGTATATCAATTTCGAACTTCATGTTATATTAGTTTACGCTTCGTTTCTATCCTTTTAACGAAAGGCATCTGCATTTTACGATATTTGTTATTGTCGCTTCGTAACAGACTCATGTAAGTACGAACCGTTCATTTTTTTTTCTCTCTTCCTCCCTCACCCTCTGTACGTATCTGATATGTGCTTTCCATTTTGTGCGGAAGAGTAATTTCCCTACCTACGAACGGTCGGAATCTACCGTTTCTCTCAGACGTACGGCACCTTAACAAGATCCCTTTGCGTTAAAATGACATCGCGTATTTCTTACTAAGCCCACCGACGTTTCGTTCGTGACACGTGCGGCTCTCAAAAGACCACGCCCCCCCTCCCTCCTCCCACGCCCCGCTCTTCCTCGAACTCTCTCGCAAGAGCGCTCGCGTTCACGCGGACACGCGATGTACGCGCACGTACAATTATTAGTATTAGCGTAATGACTGATATCGTATTGTACTCTCTCATACTGAGCGTTTTTTCTTAAATCGTATCGCCATATGAAAATACGTTGATGCATCGGAGTACCTGAACCCTAGAAGAAAACTTTTAGGCATCGCTCGTCTTCGCCGATCGACTGGCGAAACGTTGAAACCGATCCTATTCTTTGTCGATATTTTTTTTCGATTTACGCTCGATTTTACAGATCGGACTCGCCGTAGAGAGCCGTCGAGAAGGAACGATAGTCCAGAGCCCCAGGGACGGCGCTCGGTCCCTTGAACGGAGGCATTCGCTGAATGCAATACTCCGCCTGATCCGGCGGCAATTCTCTCCTCAATTCATCCGGCAAGATGTAAGGCTGCAAAAAGATTAAGAGGATTCGCGTCGTTGATTCATGTTGTCAGCTACCGTCGTGAATCGTTCGTCGAACGATCGGTCGGCTAGCGAATATTCTCACCTTATCTCCAGCGAGAATGCGGAAGCTGTCGATTACTTGTTCCGCCGTGTCGGTGTCGGTCGACTCGCGCGTCATGAAGTCCAGGAAGGCGTCGAAGTGCACGTAGCCCGAGTTGTTGGGGTCGACGATGGCCAGGATTCGTTGGAAGTCGATGTCGCCCTGCCTGTCCTTGCCGATGGAATATCCCAGGGAGACAAGGCAGGACTTAAACTCGTCCGGCGCCAATCTGCCCGTCCTGTTCTTGTCGAAGTGGTTGAAGCTGCTGCGGAACTCGCTCAATTGTTCCTGGGTGATGCCCTGAAACAAATGTTATTACTTTCAGCGAACGTTCTTTGGAACAGCGCATATTCGACGAACGTAGCGTCGACGAAGAAGAAGGTTACCTTCGAGTCTCTGGTGAGAATTTGATTCTCGACTTCGTTGATGTTACGATTGATCGAGGTCAGCAGTTGCTCCCAACCGACGCGCAGTGTTTCCATGGTGTACTGAGTGTACCGATTCTCGAAGATCATGCCTTCCTGGACCGCTTGGTGGATCTTCTCCAGCTCCTCGAGATGGGTCTTATATTGGTACACCGCCTGTTCGTATTCTTTCAAACGATGCAGTTGATCCTCCAGAGTTCCCTGAAACACGGACGCGAGATCTGAGGATTCACGCGCGGCGAAAGATGTATAAAAATGCTTAGACGCAACAGTGATCTACTACCTGAAGACCGAGGCCAATAGCAGTGACCGCGTCCAGTTGGCGTTCTATCCATGGCCCGACGACATTGGCTTTCTCCGCGAACTGTCGTCTCAGCAGTTCGTTATCTGTTTCAATGTTTCAGGAAATTTCATATTTCCAAAATGTAATCGTCTGAGAACCTGTACTCGCGTGTCGCGAATTTGAAAAGATATATTTCCAGTAAGAGTGAACAAAACAACGTAACTAGTGTCACAGAGCAAGGATACTTTGTTGCTTGCGAAGTTCAGCTGCCAAGGTACCGTCACGCTGAGGCACCAATTGTTTGACGTCGCTCCACTTCTTGTTAAGATCCTGCAACAAACCGTTACAAAACGATCAGTCTCAGCTCCGTCAGATACGTCATGCGCCGGCCGGTCTTCCGACGTACCATCGCGGTGAGAGTGGTGTAAGGGTTTTCTAGACCGCCAGGGATCTGGTATTGCTTGACTATGGACTCGACTTCGCGCACCAGCGACACAATCGAGTTGAACTCCTTGTCCGCTTCACCGAGGGTCGCCTTGAACGCGGCATGGGCGTCCATCAGACCCTGAATCTCCTCCATCGTGTGCACGATGAACATGTCCACCAAGTCTTCCCTGGTTCCATCCAACCAGTTGTTGAACGGCTGAGAGAGGCAACGCGATATGAGATAACACGAGATGACGCAAACAGTCGGGAAACTTCGTTCAAACTGCTGTAATTCAGGTAACACTCACAGCGGCCCGTTTGGCGAACTCCAAGTGCATGACGTCTATCTTCTCCAGTATACGTTCGGCGTCGTTGAGGGCCTGACGTCTGCGTTGGGTGAGCGTACCCAGGCGATCCCATTGGTCGCAAATGCTTTGGCACCTGGCGTTCACGGATGCGCTGTCGTGATACTCGAGAGTGCTGCAACGACGGTAACGTGAGAATTGCTACACGGCATTGGCAAAGCGTCAACATTATCATCGTGCAACACGCGTGACTCACTTGAGTTCTTGAGCGATAGCTGCGATCTGCTCCACGCGATCCTGGTGGGCCGCGAGGTCCGACTCGAAGGCCTCGTGCTTCTTCTTCAGTGCCTTCAGCTCGTTCAACTTGCACTGACGGAAATGTTGGGACGTGAGCATTTCCTCCTTGCCCGCGGTCCACTCTTCGTGGGCGTCCGCCTTGTGCTTGAACTTCTGCGCCAGATGTTCCAATCGCTCGAGACGCATCATCTCCGACAACAGCCAGTCCTCGAACGTCTTCTCGGCCAGCTCCAGGCCTAATATATAATATTTATATATTACACACACACACACATATACATAAACGCAGCCAATATTATATAATATTATATATAAATTATAAATTATTATATAAATATATAAAATAAACTACATATATATTTTGATTAAAAACGGAACGAACTTTTGCATCACCCAATATTTACTCGTCATTACTATTTTTTGGTTGTTAGAGTAATATTTATAAATATTTATAATATTTATATATATCCCCGAGTACCCGGGTAAGAGCACACGAATTAGTACATAATCGTAAAGTGTAAACTTAAGTTGAAAAATCAATCAGGATATTGTTTTAGCTTTGTTTACTCTAGAAGAAGATAGAAGTACTCGTACAAACTAGAATTCAGATTAAATAACTAAGATTTCCACCAGTCGAGTCCTAGTTATCTCTGCTTCCGATTAGACTTAGCGTCATTTCTACCCAAACCTAAATCAAAACCCGATTGCTCCTCCAGCTAAAATTTACGTCTCATGTTTGCGGTTACGGCAATTTGTACACGAAAGCTCCAATCCTGAAAGACCCGGGTGCCCAAACCCGCGAGTGTCACCCGGTAAACAAAATATCCGGATTATATGGCATTATTTTGGACAAGTCGTCACTCGGCGTACGTGGGAATGCGCAGAGAGACGCACGTTACAAACCGAGGGAAATCACCGAGAGACCGCACCTTTCCACGCTTTATTGATGTCGGACACCATCTTCCCTTCCGTGGGCATGTACGCTGGTCTGTTGCTCAGCCTCAGCTTCGTTTGCAGCGTATTGAAATTCGTTTCCAGCTTGGCTTTCTGTTCGACACGCGGCGGCTTGTGCTTGCGCCGGTATGTCCTGTATTCCTCCAGCTTCTTCTGACAGCCGGCGAGGGAATTGTCAGTCTGTCGATTCGCGAGCCACGGCATTGTTCGTCGTATCCATTCGAGCAAATCGGAAGCCAGCCGCTCGTACTCCTCCATAAGCCGCTCATTTTCCTGGTTCACCTTCAGTACCTTGCAGATTCTGTTGGCCGCCGTCTCAGCCTACAACGAGAAAGTGCGCGTTCCCGTATTATCAATATTATTAATATCGGGTGGTACGTTAAAATGTATACAGAGTTTACTTCCATATAATATATATATATATATATATATATGTATTGAGCAAGACGCATGCAATCGTGAATATCGTACAGTCGTCTCGAAAGAACGAGTAGGAAACTCGTGAGGCAAATTTCAAAGTTTTCGATTCTCACACGCGTGACGACGTGTTCGCGTCGCGCATCAATCGTCATGTTTACGCGCGTGCAAGTGGAAGCGCGTTCGCGCAAACACTCGCGTCTGTTACAGGTTAATTCCAAATGCAGAGAACACACCTTTTGAGCACCGCTAAAACAGTGGTAGTATGAGGAAACATAGGTCATCACGGCCCTCTCATCAGGCATTGCCGTATTTCGCATATCTAGAAAAACACATTCGAAGAAACTCAAACCATGCGTTGTTAGCGTTTTAAACAAACTTGCCGTTAAAGATTTGATTAATTTGTAACAGTAACCGTGTTCGGGTGAAAGGGACGGTACGTTATTAGTAATTCGTCACGGTTCTCGATGTCGTGTCTCATACGGGTATACATACACATTTTTATACATATGACATATACAGGGTGTGGCATTTAAATTGAGACATCTTAATATAACAAAAATAAAGCAAAATAGAAAGAAACGTTTCAGACAAAAGTTGTAAGATTTGGAGGGAGACATATTTGGCGACCTTAACTTCGTTGAATGAAAAGTAAAATAACTCGAAAAGTATTCGTATTTAGATGACCTTGTCCTAGTATTTTTATACTTATAATGAAGAGAGGAATCGATTTGGGTTAAGAGAAACTATATGATTCTATTTAAAGAAATGAAGTTGACCTTGAAATGATTTTGAATTATTGACTATACAACAAGGTTAAGGTCACCGTCTTATGTCTCCCTTCAAATCCTACAACTTTTATCCGAAACACTTCTTTCCATTTTGCTTTATTTTTTTTATTTAAATGTCTCAATATAAATAAATGCTCCATCCTGTATGTGACATATATGATATTATACAGGGTGCCCTGGATCAACATGGGCAAACTTCGGGAGAGCATAGAACGGATTGAAGTGAACAAAGAAGTCCTGCACCACTTTGCAAAGAACACGCAAATTTTTAAGTTATGAATTAAAAAAGCCTCTATACATGGCATTCTCAATAATGAATAACTCGAAATTTTGCGTGTTGTTTGCAAAATGGTAGAGAATTTTTATATTCACCTGAATCTGTTCTACGCTCACAAAGTTTATTCATGTTGATCTGGGACATCCTCTATATATATGACATTACATATATATATATGACAGAAATGTGACGAGCTTTTTGCAACGCACATATTTTTCTTTCATACTGAAAAGAGAAACCAACATAAAGGAATTCTGTTATTGTCTTATTCGTTAAGAATGTTACACAGAACGCGTCAGTGATTGATCTGCGATGCTCTCCGAGACGATGGAACAATGAAGCCGGAAACGATGGCAAGGGTGGATCGATTAGCAGGTTCGAAACCGTCGTTAAAAACGATAAGCGCACAGTGCGTTCGCATTAATGAAGAGTAGTAGTACAGCTCGCGTCCGGTGATTCGCAGTGGGGGCGAAGGGAGTAAAAAAAAAGAGCAACACGCATGTCTTGACGCTGACCTGCTGAGCACCTTGGAACGCGTGGTAGTAGCAGGACACGTACGTCATGATAGCTCGCTCATCCGGCTTGGGAGTGTTGATCAAATCTACGTGATATATCAAGGGAACATTAAACATCGTGCGTTTACACATGTGTCGGTACGATACTCAAAGAAATCCGACCCTAGTCCTGTACGACGAAAGAAGTAACCTGAACCGAACTTATAATATCGAGACGATCAATCTTGTTAATTAATTCGCGCGTATGCGAGTCTCTTACAATCCGTTACATCGCGAGCAACGCGGATGGTAGCACCTGACATGATTCTTCTTGTCTACCTAAACTTGAACGATCGGCTCATACCTACCATCGGGATCTAACATGCGAGGAATGTCGAGATACTTTTCCGCGACATCGAAGGCAGTGTTCAAGTTTTCCAGCGGATTGTCCTTGCTGAGTTTGTTGTAGTCGATCAGATCGGGCCGATGACGATGGATGAGGGCGCAGAAGGCGAGACCGTCCTTGAAGGACAGGTGGAAATTCTGGACGTTGACATTCTTGTACGGCGCTGTCTTGCGTTGGCACCAGAGCAACAGTCCTTCCTTCGCGGTCATCTCTTCCACGGAGATATCTTGGATCGCGAATCTCAGGATGATGGTCCATATCATACCCAGGGTCATCTTTAGGTTGCCGTCCACGATTTCTGTCGACAGATGGAACGAATAGAAAGGGGCAGGATGGTCGTCACTGAAAATAGGGCTTTACATCCTTAACGACTATATCGACGAGTCAGAAGAAGAAGATATTTTCCTCAAAGAGAAAGGAAAACTGTGGACTTGGAGGAAAACATACCTTCTGCGCCGATGGACACCAGCTTTACGCCCTTGCTGGCGATATAATCGAGGGCTTTGTTCACATTGGCGATCTTGTGGAACCTCATCTTGCCTCTGTCAGGTCTCGGCAGGGTTTCGCCTGAGATCACCTCAAGCAGCAGCATTAGCTTCAGCCCATTCCTGAAATCGTCCTCGATCGATTCGATGGCAGTGCCTGCTTTGCGAAGATGCGAGTTGCACCACGCTGTGAATGTCTGTGACGGAGAAGGAGAGCCGATTAATTCGCGCCCTCATCCCGTGCGTAATGATAACGCTAACAATCGAGATAAGATCGCGGGACGATCGAACACGAATCGTTCGACTCTTCTTCGCGCTAATAACACGCGAAAGATCAACATGCGAAGGAATCATTTAAAATGGGGGATTGGGTTTCCCCGCTATGCTGCTTAATGTATATTTTAGTAGCGACCCCGATCCCTCCCGCTATATATATCTTCTGTCCTGGTTCTTAAACGACGCTTCCTATCGTTCGCCGCGATGATTTTCGGATCATCTTCTTCTGACATACGACCGAGCGACAATTGTGAAACAACCATTTACGCGCTCTTATTGAAAACGCTACTTCCCGCGAGATCCCTCCTCTCCTCCTCCGCGCAGACCCCGCTCGTTCGAGACGCACGCCAGGGAGGCGCCAGAATGTTCCGCGATATATAACTTTCAAGTTTAAAAATAATCACTCGCGGATTACACACATATACACCTACATCGAGTTAAAATTCCCGGATTGCTCGACACGCGATAAATCAATTACTAAAATTAGCGACGACGGGGCCCGGAATATCTTCACGCGGTTTTCGGGAGGTGCGACGAGGGTCGATTTTCGCGACGAAAGAAATTATTTCGCCTCCGCGTCCCCGCGTACACGTCATAAGCGCGACGCGCGTTAAAGGATCGGCGCCGAGGATAAATCGAGAGAGACAGAGAAAGAGAGAGAGAGAGAGAGAGAGACAAATCCGCTGGACATTTATTCGCGTATCGTGGCATAAAGCGCGGCATTTAATCGAGGCCGGTGAAAAAAACGGGGCCGCCGGTGGATTTTTCGGGTTGGAAAAATATTGCGTGAAATTCAATACGGGTAGCGTGAAGCACGACGGGCCAATTTTGGACATGAGCCACCCTAACTTCTGCACGCGCTCTAAGATCTATTTGTAAAACATTGACTCCTCCCGCGCCCGAGTATTAAAGCATTTCGAACACATTTCGCGGTTCACCTCGCGTTGTTTATTAATTAAAACCGCCAACGATCGTTCACCCGGAATCTCCGCGTTATTATGTCATCGATCCATCAACGAATTACACACACACTCTCTCTCTCTCTCTCTCTCTTTCTATCCATCTATCTATCTCGAGTATCTTTAACAATTTGCGCCACATGAGCGCCGATTTGCGCCACATGATTCATTTTCGAATGAATAAATAATATCGTGCGACAGACAGCATTGAAAACAGCCAATAATATCGCGACATTAATTATTAATATTTGATTTCGCCATCTATTAATATATCACGTTGTCCGTGTGCAATATATTCATGGAATTCATAATTTAATACGTTGACGGCAAAGGCTTTTTATATGTGTGCGTTTGTGTGCATACGTGTGTAAGTAATATAGTTAATACATCGATAGAAGTATAGTTACACGCGGTTTTGAGTTTAAGAGGCGTTCTCGCGAGTGAAGGAATGCCGTAGTCCGATGTATTTGCTGATAACACATTATTTCTATTTCTGTGTGTGTGTGTGTGTGTGTGTGTGTGTGTGCGCGTGCGTGCGTGCGTGCGTGCGTGGACTCGTTGGGTGTGACCATTCTCACGTTTTATATGCGTCTACGCCGACGGGCGCGCGTTCGGTCGTTTTCCGAAAGCGATTTACAACGAGCGATAAATAACATCCTCCCAATTTACACCGTGCACCCGATTCACGCACGGATTTCAGCCGAACAAGCAATTTCCATACGGCAGATCGATCGTACTGTATGGCAAAAAGAAAAAGAAAACGGTATAATGTTCTTCGCACATAGCTATTCTTGGATGTTCAGGGTTTTCGCGTTTTCCTCGTTGAAATAATCGATTCTGTAAACTATTTAATTTCCACAACGTAATCGACGTTATCTTTCGCGATAAATCCGCTCTTCATCCATCGAACGCGCGAATGTATGAGGCCGCGATCTCTCTTTGACGTATATATATTATATATATTATACACGAACGTAATATCAAAATAACCGAGGTTTTATAGATAGACGGATGACACGGTTATAGACTTTCTTTATCTCCGTGAGTCATCGTGATCTCTTTATAAACTGACGTGACACATGTCAGTATGTCGAAGACAATATATATAAACGATATTGTTATTTCCGTTGCATACCACGCTATTTCGGTATGTGATATTTAAGAATCCTTGTCGGCACGAAATTTCGATATGACGAATATATTCAACCAGTCTACTTAAAAACGATATGTCTACTTAAAAACGATATATATATATGTCTACTTAAAAACGATATATATATATATATTTTTTTTTTTACACGGTTATATATATTAATTATTTCGCAACATCCAAATATTTTGTGTCGCATTAGCTCACACGTCAACGAGGAAAACGAAAAGCACGTGTTCAATAATCATGGTAACTATTTGCAGAGTTTGTCCGACTGGCCGTTCGTTTCGTTATATTATTCGCGCGCACATGACAATGCGTATCGACTATAAATAAATACAGTTATGTACAAGCACAAAGCAGTCCAAATCCGATGCGCATAATTCACGTAATCCAAGTCGCGAAATCGCGCGTGTACACACGCACAAACACGCACGTATACGCGCATGTACAACATGCGTATACACGGCTGCCGTGCGCTAATCTATTTCTACTCCGAAAATTTGGCAATGGTCTCATCGTTCGTCCACGCCTTCTATCATTCTTATCGGATCGTGTCTTATCGGAATGCAAATACCGACGGACGAATAGTGCGGTGCACGTCGCGTCGCGACATTTGCGAAATGTTCGGCCCAGGATCTATTACCGTTTGTTTGCTGTCTCGCGTGCAACTCGAGAACGTATGCCTCTATCATGTTCCATTTAAACTTGGCAACGAAAGACCTTAATTGCGAATCACTCCGCGGGCGAGAGATCCTTTTCGCGCGAATGTTCGCCGAGCGCATGAGTCTCTCTCTTCGGCGCGACTAGTTTCTTAGGATCACCGGTTTACACTTCCCCGCCTCTTTCCATGAATAAGCGAGCAGTGATTCGAGATCCGGGGGGATTACAATAAAATGAACTCGATGTGTAAATCATGAACGGGCAAATTTCCCCGTGGAATCACGCTGTCAGTCAAGACATTCGAAGAATTAAGGTTTCCGTTTCCTCGCCGCAAGCATCTTGATTGATGACGTCAGAAGCGAGAAAACGTATGTCCAAAATTCTTGCCAGATACGTTGTTGTAAAAAGGATATATGTCCATAAAATGATACTTGCGAGATCGATTAAGCACATTTGTAAAATATCCCGAAAAAATTGTCTTTTTATTTTGACAATTAATAGCCGTAAAATTAAGGGTAAATCCTCGTAAGGAAAGGTGGGAAGGACGTGAATAGGAAGATGGGGTCGTGAGTGACCCGAATATATGAATATGCATTCTATTAGGTTGAAATAAAGAAAGGGCAAAAATTATATGGAAAAATATACAAGAATATTTTTTTCAAAAATATTATATAATAAATGAACATTTTGCTGAGGTCATAAGTGACTCCTACTTTTTCTTATAAGGATTATTATGACAGAATCATGAGAAAAGGCGGGCTAAAAAAGAAAGTTGCATGTTATACCAATTTTACGGTTATTTATTGATCGTCAGAGCAAAAGAGGAAAGTTTTCTCGGAATACTTTACAAATATAATGTCCAATCAATCAAAAGCATCATTTTATAAGAACAACCTTTTATTTCCAAGCGATTCCTCCGTCGGACAAGATAAAACCAGCAAGCGAGAATTAATTTCGAGCATCATTACTCAAGACACGTCGCGCTTCAGGTGTCATCGATAGCGGCGTAGATCTCGGCGAGGCACAAAGGTGGGATTGTCGCCGGACCGGTGTTACGTGGTGCGGAAATGCAGTCTGTAATTATCAGTCGGCGCGACCTTTCGAGTGGCCAATACCTGGCCGAAAATAGTTAATCGTGGGTGTGCAGCGGGATATCTGCGTGGTGAATCCGCGCCTGACGCACGCAGCTGCGTGTAGCCGAATGTGCGGAGAGCCGGGTGTGTACCCGGCCGACGAGAAAAAATAATCGTCCCTCGCGTGAAACACGGCAGCGGACTTGGAGCGGATCGCGAACGACGACGATTCACGAGACTCATTCCCGAGACCGATTTCCGCAATTCTCATTTTCGCTTTTCTCTTTTTTCCCCCCATCTCGTCGGACAGATCAAACAGATCGGAATGTCTCCGTCGTCAAATTCCGTCGTCCTCAAAACGCGAACCGTTGCTATCGGTGCCAGTCGCTCAATTACGTAAATGTGACATTTGAAAATCTCGCGTTGGCGCTGCCCGGTCCGTCAGCGGCGAGCCGCGGCGAAATCCGGGCTCGTGAATAAAGTCCGGTTATCGTCGATCCTTCATTCATGATCCACGACGCATAGCTGTTCCAACAAATGAATGATTCACGCGCGCGAAATTCATCACGTGGATACGTCGAAAAACCGGAACTTCCGAAAAATCTTTCCTCGAAGCTTTCATAAGCGGACACGTGACGCGTCAGGTTCGATGTACGACGAAACGTAAAAATCGAGATGTGAGGAGTATCGTTCATGTGGAGGAAAAAGAAGTCGGTCGAATTAAAGAGGCTGTAAGACTCAGTGTCCTATTTTCAGAGATATATCAAGGGGGCACTCATAAAAATTTTGTATTTATCAAGTAAAATTACGTTTCTATATATTTTCTAATAGAGACGCAATAATAGAAAAAGATATATAAGTATTTAGATATATGCATATGTATATATATATTTTGAATGATACTATAAATTATAAATTTGACACCGTTATATTTTCAATATAAAGTGATTAATAATTCTGAAATGTAAGCCTAAATATATAAATATCTGCATATTAGTCTTTAATATCATAATAATTTTTCGTCAAAAACTTATTTTTAATTTAGGAGATATTAAAAATAGAAATTAATAATAACA